TTCTTCCTCTTCTTCTTCTCACTCTTTCTAAGCTGATGGTCTGTTGGAAACAACCTCTCTACCTTCACTAGATAGGGGTAAGGTCTGCGTACGCACTACCCTCCCTAGACCCCACTTGTGGGAATATACTGGTTTTTCTTTTGTTGTTGTTGTTGGTTTAGCATCCATGGTTCCAGTTGGTTCTCACTGTTCTGAGACAGTTTGTCATGGTTTGATTTAAAATTAGTGACTGAATCCTTTTGTGAGACTACTTTTTGTTAATATTTGTACAATTTTCATCTTTCTATTTTTAGTTTAATACTTTGCTTTTCTACCCATCCTTTAGTTCTATGACTACCAAAAGCTGATTAGAATTTATTTTGTTGGAGACCTAGTGAATGGGACAGGTGGGTGCAACCATATTTTATCAGATCCTTTTGTACTTCTAATATATTGTCTGATGAGTTTCCTTATTGATCAGGGTCTGGTGAGTCTCGGTCCCTTATGAAGGAATTGGCTGATGTAGTTGCTCATGACCAAGGGAGATTTGGTTCACTGAAGCTGATGGTATTATATAGGAGCAGTGAGAGAATGCTGGCAGATGCAGTTGGAGCTGATGAGGGAATAACAATATTTTATTATCATCACTCACACCCCCACAAGTATCTGGGAAGACTTCGAGTGCAGAACATATTGTCATCTTTATATTATGTTATGTCACTGTTGCCAGAACAGCTTCCATTCAAAATTTTAAAGACACCCGAAGACTTAGAAAATTTTCTTGGTTCAACTGATAAGGCTTTGATTCTTTCTGAATTTTGTGGATGGACCCAGAAATTGCTAGCTAAAGGTGGCAATAACAACAGCGAACGTGGTTTTGGTAAAGTCTTCACTTCTGGTTTTTGTTGCTTTATTTCCAGTAATGGAAGGTGAATAATTTTTATAAAATGAAATTGCCTCGTGAACTTTATAAAAAAAAATGAAATTGCCTCATGAAGGATACTGAAATGACCTATCCAAGAACAAAAAAAAGGTAGAGCCATGCTAACTGAAACAATTTCATTGATCTTTCTAATACTTTCAAAGTTCTTAGTTTACTTAACAATGTGTTCATTTAACACGTCATGCTTTCTAAAATTTAAACTAAATGATTGGTTCTGTCCATATTTAAGCATCCAAGGGGAACTGTTCATCAATAAGATAGTACGATTTGCTGGTCTTAGTTATACTTTAATGAAGGTGCGGAAGTCTTTGACTTCCTAATGTAAAGGATACTTCTGTCATTATCGTTATTGTTATTGTTGTTATAATTTAAAGGTCAAGTAGTCATTACATATTAACAATTCAAAGGGCTTAATTCTCATGGATAACATAATTTAATCTGCTTGAGCACTAAAGTGACATTCTAAAACTGAAGTGTAGGAACTTTCTATGTCTAAATATTTAGGTTCTGTAAAGGACATGTGTCCTTGTTGGCGATTTAAAATTGGGAAAGACGTTGATTCCCTTCAATATTGTGATTGAAGTTGCTATCCTGTTGTATCCTCTCTATCTATCACCTACTTGTGAACATGCTAAAATCTTTTGATTCTAGACATATTGGATGGTGGGCCACCAGAAGGACTCAATTACTTAGAGCTTTTAGTATTATAAGTCTTTATGAGCCTTGAAGTGAGAAAATGCTTTTTTCTTGGGTGGTACAACACTTTGCAGAATCCATTTTCTAGTTTTTTCTTTATGTGATTGCTTGTATCATTCATTCTTAGTATCTAGAACTTGGAATTTGATAAATGCAAATGATATGTGATTAAGCGGGGCTAATCTATCATGCGGATAAACATTTAATGGTATCATAATTTCTCTTTGCCTTTTTTTCTTTCTTCTTCTATTTCGCACTTGAATGATGGCATGGGAAGTTCTAAACTGACGCGCTTATTCGAAACAGGATTTCACGAACAGTTTAATGGAACAATTGCAGCTAAAGAGAATGAAAATCAGGTGGCAGATGGTAGCTTCTTAGTGCTTATGACTATGAAACTGTTTTTAGAATTGTGAAACCCATATTGCTTAATGGCTTTACCTGTATTTTGTTTCTAACATTAGGGATTGGAAAATGCGAATATGGATTGCGGTGTTGACAATCGATTTAGTGACATGCCTTGGCTTAGCGAGTTTACCTCAGCAAACAATAGTGCTTTCCTCGCGGCTGAGAATATGAGCCTTAATAGTGGGGCTTCCTGTAAAATTGATGAATTCCAACATTTCGAATCATTCTTACCAAAGTTTTTAACTGTTGCGAGAGACTTATTTCTTCCTCCTGAAAGGCTAAGATTCGGTCTGGTTCTTGATAGAGCGTTGCTTTCATCACTGAACATTAAGGATTCTGGATCATGGCTGGTGACATTGCATTTTGCTGGATGCCTCAGTTGTTTGAAGGTTCTCAGAGAAGGTGATGATCTCAAAGCTTTTGCCAAAATTCAAGCTTGGCCAGTTGCAGAGGCAAGTGAAAACTTGTGCTTTACATTCTTGATAATCTTTGTATAAAATCTCACTCTCTAGATTTTTCTAGTTAGGGTAGAAAGGTAGTAGGTAGTCGAGCTTATTTTTGTTCCGTACCGATGGTATTAGGGTTAGTCTGGTAGTTTTTCTTGTCTTAGATTGCTAGTATTTCATGCTTTTTCCCTCTTATCTTGCGCTTCTGTTTCTTAGTATTTGCTGTTGTTATTACTTGTTGCTACTGCTTCCTTCTATCTTTTTTTTTTCTGGCTCCATGATTGTTGTTACTATCTCACTGCCCCTCTTTGTTGATATTAGTTGTTTATACTGTTTCTGTTCATGAAGGGGAGTCTTGGCTTAACTGGTAAAGTTGCTGCCATGTGACCAGGAGGTCACGAGTTCGAGCCGTGGAAACAGCCTCTTGCAGAAATGTAGGGTAAGGCTGCGTACAATAGACCCTTGCGGTCCGGCCCTTTCCCAGACCCACCGCATAGCGGGAGCTTAGTGCACCGTGCTGCCCTTTTTCTTTTAGTCTTTTACTATTTCTTTTCATATTTCTTGAGCCAAGGGTCTATCGGAAACATCCTCTACCTTCTCAGGATAGCGGTAAGGTCTGCATACACTCTGCCCTTCTCAAACCCTACTTGTGATATTCCACTGGGTTGTTGTTGTTGTTGTGGATTTTTCTAGTTACTAACATTTGAACTCCTTGAATGGGGATATTCTTGATAGTATAAATAAATGTCTGCATTTCCCGTAGAATTATATCTTTGTATGAGGGTTCTCTACTTTTCGTATTCATCTTTTTTGCAGGTTTTTTTTTGTCAATCAATAAAAATTTCAAGACTTCAGTAGAATTTTTCTTTTCTTTTGAATGGAGAAGTATCCTTTTCTACCTGCTTGCGGTATCATCTCAAAACGTGTGCTATCTCTTCTAAAAGCTTAAGCTGTTAGAGATAACACACTTCTGTTTACTTAATTATATCTTAAAGGGTTTTTATTCAAAATAGTTTTTCACGGATTTGCTTTCTTTTTTTACTATGATTCTATGAATATGAGAGTGGCTTTGGATTTCATGGAGGATTGCTGGGAGGTGGGAAGGGAGTATGGGGTTTGAGAGAGTGGGGTTGTGGTAAGAGCAGGGTCACAAGAGTTTTTGGGCTAGGGTGTCACGCCCCAAAAATCGAAGGGCGCGACCGGCGCTCAACCGAGTGAACCCGACTGAGCAAGCCTGTTAGGTTTCATTCTACCCAAACTAATTCAGGAATATCATACTTTGTAAATTTATTATTAATGACTTCCATTTCATTTCCATTAGCAACTTCATTCATAATTTTCAAAATATTACAAGTTTTAGTACATTTGTTAAGTACATGTTTAGCAAATACCAACATTTCTAGTTCAGTTCCCAATATCAAACACCACCCACAACCTGTCTACGGAGACTCTAAATACAACTGGAGAGTAATATGGAAATACCGACAACAAGGCTCCGGTTATACCTCAAAATACAAAGTACATGAGAAACACAAGATACAGGACCCCGAAAAGAGGTGGGGCTCACCAAGTCAGCTGGAAAGAGTGCACTGCTATCACTGATCGATGTCGCCTGCTGTGGGATCACCTGTATCTTTAGCCCCCGGCAAAAGGGACGTTAGTGCCGTCGAATAGCACTAGTATGTATAGCTAGAAGTCCTCTTTCAAAATAGAATACCCACATAAGAAAGGAAATCATAGTACGTAAAGCAACTATAAAATGCCTCATGGATTTACATTTCAGGTTTTTATTATACTTACCTCACTCTGAACTTCCTTGGGGCCGATTCAACCATATGAACTATACGTGGGATACAAAATATAATGTAATCACAACATGTATAAGCAAGGGCAACGAAATAGAAACCACCTACCGTCTGTGTTAAATAGGCATCTCCACAAACCATTCGGTCCTTTCTTATTATGCACATATACGTTTTAGAGACAGTTAGTAAGGTTCACATATTATATTATACACCTATGCGTTTCATAGCCCGTCCATAGGGTTCACATATCATATTATACACCTATGCGTTTCGTAGCCCGTCCATAGGGTTCACATATCATATTATACACCTATGCGTTTCGTAGCCCGTCCATAGGGTTCACATATCATATTATACACCTATGCGTTTCGTAGCCCGTCCATAGGGTTCACATATCATATTATACACCTATGCGTTTCGTAGCCCGTCCATAGGGTTCACATATCATATTATACACCTATGCGTTTCGTAGCCCGTCCATAGGGTTCACATATCATATTATACACCTATGCGTTTCGTAGCCCGTCCATAGGTTCCACATATTATATTATACACATGCGTTTCATAGCCCGTCCATAGGTTCTACATATTATATTATACACCTATGCGTTTCATAGCCCGTCCATAGGGTCCACATATTATATTATACACATATGCGTTTCATAGCCCGTCCATAGGATTCAAATATCATATTATTCACCTATGTGTCTTATAACCCGTCCATAGAGTCCACATATTATATTATACACATGCGTTTCATAGCCCGTCCATAGGGTCCACATATCATATTATATACCTATGCGTTTCATAGCCCGTCCATAGGGTCCACATATCATATTATATACTTATGCGTTTCATAGCCCGTCCACAGGTTCCACATATTATATTATACACCTATGCGTTTCATAGCCCGTCCACAGGTTCCACATATTATATTATACACCTATGTGTTTCATAGCCCGTCCATAGGTTCCACATATTATACACAATAAACCTTTTATATCGTACTTAGTTTCATTGGTATCTTTAGCTTCTCACAACATCATTAATTTATTTGCTCTTTTTGGCCATACGTACGATTCTTCTTTCATGGCGCAATGGCCGTATTTCATATTCCACAATGCACTTATTTCACTTCCAAACATCTTTATATTTTACCAACAATACATTTCCAATCAAGACTTTAGGTATACATATGAGCAATTATGAGCCTTAATCATATCGAACTTTCTCACACAATTTGGCATACAAGCCTTCATTTGAAACATGACACAAAGTCGTAACATTTTAACACGCAATCCATACTTTGGTCATATATCTTCATTCATAAGGCTCATTTCGGAATAGTCAAGTTTATAGGTAATAACTCGGAATATATAAATTAGAAATTTTGAGCCAACATACTTAAACTTACGGAAACATTTATGGAATTCGATTCTAAGAGAGAAAGTTTAGCCAACATACCTCGATTGAGCTTTCCTTAAATTCTTACAAAATTCCAGGACTCTTAGCAACTTCAATCTATTTTAGAAACATAACAATCTGAACCAAAATTAGGAAGATGATCATAATTCTAGCTCATTTGAGCATTTTATCAAACACTAGTTGTGCATGTTTATTTCAAAGCTGTTCTACAAGATTTCCCTCATTCCCCAACCCAATCTTTACTTATTTGTGTTCAGCAATCTTCCCACAAACCTAATTTGTACATGCATGCATACATAATACTATTACACCCAAGAATCATATCACAATAACCCATCTTATACCNTAGCCCGTCCATAGGATCCACATATTATATTATATACCTATGCGTTTCATAGCCCGTCCATAGGGTTCACATATCATATTATACACCTATGCGTTTCATAGCCCGTCCATAGAGTCCACATATTATACACCTATGCGTTTCATAGCCCGTCCACAGGTTCCACATATTATATTATACACATATGCGTTTCATAGCCCGTCCATAGGGTCCACATATTATATTATACACATATGTGTTTCATAGCCCGTCCATAGGGTTCACATATCATATTATACACCTATGTGTTTCATAGCTCGTCCATAGGGTTCACATATTATATTATATACCTATGCGTTTCATAGCCCGTCCATAGGGTCCACATATCATATTATACACCTATGCGTTTAATAGCCCGTCCATAGGTTCCACATATTATATTATACACCTATGCGTTTCATAGCTCGTCCACAGGTTCCACATATTATATTATACACATATGCGTTTCATAGCCCCGTCCATAGGGTCCACATATTATATTATACACCTATGCGTTTCATAGCCCGTCCATAGATTTCACATATTATACACAATAAACCTTTCATTTCGTACTTAGTTTCATTGGTACCTTTAGCTTCTCACAACATCATTAATTTATTTGCTCTTTTTGGCCATACATACGATTCTTCTTTCATGGCGCAATGGCCGTATTTCATATTCCACAATGCACTTATTTCACTTCCAAACATCTTTATATTTTACCAAACAATACATTTCCCATCAAGACTTTAGGTATACATATCAGCAATTATGAGCTTTAATCATATCAAACTTTCTCACACAATTTGGCATACAAGCCTTCATTTGAAACACGACACAAAGTCGTAACATTTTAACACGCAATCCATACTTTGGTCATATATCTTCATTCATAAGGCTCATTTCGGAATAGTCAGTTTATAGGTAATAACTCGGAATATAGAAATTAGATATTTTGAGCCAACATACTTGAACTTACGAAAACATTTATGGAATTCGATTCTAAGAGAGAAAGTTTAGCCAACATACCTCGATTGAGCTTTCCTTAAATTCTTACAAAATTCCAGGACTCTTAGCAACTTCAATCTATTTTAGAAACATAACAATCTGAACCAAAATTAGGAAGATGATCATAATTCTAGCTCATTTGAGCATTTTATCAAACACTAGTTGTGCATGTTTATTTCAAAGCTGTTCTACAAGATTTCCCTCATTCCCCAACCCAATCTTTACTTATTTGTGTTCAACAATCTTCCCACAAACCTAATTTGTACATGCATGCATACATAATACTATTACACCCAAGAATCATATCACAATAACCCATCTTATACCCCAAACTCGAAATTAAGGTCTAGTGTATAGATCCTTACCTCTTAGATGAAGATCTTGAGGGATTTCTTGTTGGATTTCAAGGATTGGACAAGATTTTTGATGAACAAGGCACTTGAGCTTCTTCCTCTCTCTAAAAGCACCAGAATATCCCAAAAAAACAAACCCCAAACGAGTTAAATGAAATGGAGTTCGGGTTTTAAAAACCCATTTTTGTACATCCGCGGCGCATGAGACACCGCGGGGCATGGGGCGGCTGTGCAAATTGTGTTTGGAAATTAAATTTCGAATCATTCTGGAATTCCCTATAGGCGCGGCGCACCGGGCGCCGCATGGGGCGGTGCGGTAGTACAATTTTCAGCAGCATTTGGTAATTTGGTCATAACTTCTTGTAGGAGTGTCCAAATGATGAACGGTTTGAAGCATTACAAACTAGATTCGAAAATCTTTCATTTGATAGGTTGTTCATCACACAACTCCTTATATTTATTCAGATATTCTCGTCCAAAGTTTGGTCTTGTGCGTGCTCATTCGAAACTTTCGCCTATAATGAAAATTTTCAACTTGGCTTGGACTTAGGCCTCTCCTTAGACCCCAAATCACTTATAATATGCCTCGTATACTTATTATCATATCCAATTGATATCCATCATATTAATAGTCCTCATTTGCAGACAAAATAATATAATTAGCACACGTCAACTTTCTTAATAGCGCTAAGTACTTCAAATTTTTTTCCAGGGTGTTACAGAGGGGTCGTTGGGGTGGGCATGGAGACAACTTTGGAGGCCAATTTTGTCAAAAATAATATTGGCTCGTGTAAAAGCTCATTCTTGAAATTACAGGGGACTATGTGCTACATTTGCCGTTAGTTTGTTTGAAAAAGATTTAACAATTTCATTTTGGTCGATAAGCTTGAATTTGTTTCGAGTATATTGAGAAAACTTAGAGGTTTTTTAAGGGTTACAAATTATAAACTGAAAACTGGAAGAGGTGAAGTGCATTTCAGCCAAGATAAGTGAATGAACAAGTCTGTCTTCATACAGGAGAAAGCTAAGTTTTTGGACATCTGAGTTGTCTTATGAGTGCATCATCCTTTGTCAGCCTGTATGGAGGAGAAGATTGTTGGCTAAAAGAGGTCCCGAATAACAGGAAGCGATCGGCTAATAAATTGGATAGGACCTTGGTTTAGAAAAAAGAATATATCGTTTTGTGTAGACAACATGCCTTAATTGATAGGACTCAAGCAGCTTGGATTATGTTATCTTGGTGTTTAAGTTTCTCCACTTGGGGATTAATTAAAAAAGGAAAATAGAATATCATTCAGATATAATCACACAAGTTGGTTTGTAGTGCTTGAATACAACTCCGAAGATCATAAAATCAAAATAGATGGAAGGAGAGGATTCTGGGGATGACAAGAAATGGATAATTATCAGTACAGTCATGTTATCATAAACTCTTGGTGAGGGAGTAATCGGGTTCTCCTCACTTATCGGTTTGGATCCCTGGTGCACGAAAAAAGGTGTGCTTTTTTACTTGGGCGGGAGCAAGGTGAGCAATCTTGACAGTTGAGAATTTGACAAAAAGGAGAATTACATAGTGCTTTTATGTGCGATTTGTACATTGTCAGGTGCTCGCTTATGTGTGATGGTTCGGGTTGCAACAAGCGATGTTGGGCATAGTGAATGACGCACTCTCTGGTTGGACATTTAGAAGAAGAGAAGTCGAAGAGCATTGGATGTGGATTACATAGTGCTTTTATGTGCGATTTGTACATTGTCAGGTGCTCGCTTATGTGTGATGGTTCGGGTTGCAACAAGCGATGTTGGGCATAGTGAATGACGCACTCTCTGGTTGGACATTTAGAAGAAGAGAAGTCGAAGAGCATTGGATGTTGCGCCATTGGCATTCATGCGGATCTTGTGGAAGGAGATGAGAAGGAATAACTTCTCATTCTTAATTTCTTTTTCGTTGACTCATGAAAATTCTAGCTGTATAGAAGATTGGATGTCGTTCGTACCGAATAATATTATTTTGTATTTTTTTTTTTGGTATATTGGTTGATTTTCCCATAATTAATTAATTATTTATCTTATGAAAAAGAGAATTCTGTGAAAGAACGGAGGACAATATTGCAGAGAGATGAAGTTTGACTAGGGAGGCTATAGTTGGAAGGGAAAATTAAGGGAAGAGAAAAACTAGGAATGATGAAAACTATGGGTATTAATTTTCCTTTTGATAAAACTTTGGGTATGACCTGTTGAATTGTAGTCAATCATCACAGCTAACAACTCGTTGAAAGGAGAACCTACTTAAGTCATTGTCCAAGCAGATGATGGCTTGGAGACAGTATTTATATATATGTGTATACATGATGACATAATTTTCTATGTGCTATTGTGGTTGCTCTCTCAGTTAATTCATCTGTCATTCTATATTGATTCATAGATGTCCTACCATGCAGCTGGAGGATGATGTGGATGATCTTGAGAATGCTCTTCCAGCAAATAAGCCATCGGTTGTTCTTTTCATTGATAGATCGTCTGACTCCTTTAGAATCAGAGAAAAGAGCAGGAAGGCTCTTGATTCATTTAGAGAGTTTGCCCTGAAAATTCAGATGTCAAATGAAATGAGTGAACCAAAAGCATTCAGATCGCAAAAGACATCTCTTAAGGCTTTTCAAGCATCAAGAAGTACTTCCAAACACCCTAAAGTAGGGCTTTTGTCAGCATCTCAAAAAATAAATATCAAAGACAAGATGTCAATTGTTGTATTGAACCAGGGAAAACAAGTCATCCTGGAAGATCTGGTTTCGGGACTACAGGGGAGTACATTGCATGAAGTCTTGGCATATGCACTTCAGCAAAAGAAGGAAGTGAAATTGAGCTCACTTGCGAAAGATGCAGGATTTCAACTTTTATCTGAAGATTTTGACATCAAAACTGTTCAAGCTTTACCAGGTCAAACAGAAGTTCAGTCGAACAAGGCTTCGGAGCTCCTTGTGGAAGGTGTTTCTGAAGGTATTATTGATCCAGATAAAAAAGCAAAGCTGCATGAAGATGCCATTTTGGGGAAGCAATACAATGAACAATCTGAATCAAATAAAGCCAAGCCTTCTCACGTTAGCCAAAAAGATGCTGAAACTATATTGGTGCACACGGAAGTCCAGTCAGATGAACTTTGTCCTTTAGAAGGTGCTCTAGTAGGGCCTATTGATTCAGGTAAGGATCAAATGCTGCATGTTGACGAAGGGAAACACATCGAACAAATGAAACCTGTTAATACTGAATTGCAAAATGATGAGAACAATTTACTTGAAGATGAAAGTTCACAAAAATCTGTAAACTTTGGTCATGATGGTATGATGGAGGTTGCTAATAGTCCTAGTGCAGAGGAAACAGTCGAGAAGCTGGATGAGCAGAATGAAAAGAGAAACTTCAGATCTTCCTTCTTCTTTCTGGATGGTCACTATAGACGACTTAGAGCTCTGACGTCAGGTTCAAATATACCATCTGTGGTACTAATTGATCCCACTTCGCAGCAACACTATGTTTTAAGCGAGCAAACAGATTTCAGCTGCACTTTGCTATCTGAATTTCTTGATGGCTTTCTCAATGGAAGTCTTCATCCATATCAACAGTCTGAGCATGTTGTTCCAACAATTAGGGATGCTCCAATTCCACCATTTGTTAATCTGGATTTTCACGAGGCTGATTCTATCCCTCGAGTGACAGTGCATATGTTCAATGAGCTGGTCTTTTATAATCAGCCTGATTCCAAAAATGCTGGTAATTCTCGAGATAGGGATGTTTTGGTTCTTTTCAGCAATAGCTGGTGTGGGTTTTGCCAGAGGATGGAACTGGTTGTTCGTGAAGTGTATCGTGCAATCAAGGGATATACTAAAACCCTAAGGAATGGGTTTAAGAATGAGAAACTGTCATTGAATAGGGGTAAGCAGTCTAGCCCATTTCTGCTCTTCTTTGGGTAACATATGTATTAATTTATATAAAATAATTTGTATATATAACTATACCCGGGATTAAGATTGTAAGGATGTATAATGGTTAAAATTGTTTTAAACTATCATATCATTTAAAACGTAACATCTACATGATTTCATCTCATTCTAGAAATCTGCTAGAAGTTAATAAACAAGTGTTCTAAATGCTTTTTAAAAGTTGAGAAGCTATTTGGTCCATGTCTATCCTCTCTCTTAGTCCATATGAAAGAGAATAATAAACAGAATAATATTAGATCAAGCTAATTTCAGTTTGTTCTGGTGATATCCTGCATTACAAATTAATCAAGTTAATGCAAACATAGGCCTTATCTCCTCCTTTCAGTTATATTCTGCACATCTTTGCCGGAGTCTTGGTCGCGGTGAAGAGCAATGTTGATTTACCAGTCATGGCAAACATACTCTTGGTTTGCTTTATTTTAGTATCCTTTGTTTTATTGTCAAGTGGTTAAATTTGTGGCAGATGAGGCGAGCAATGCGAACCTGAAGTTTCCAATGATCTACTTGATGGATTGTACATTAAATGACTGCAGCCCAATCCTGAAATCTGCGGCTCAGGTGTGAATTCAACTCATATAAAATTTTTGTCATTATGTCATTAGCATACTTGTTATGTTTGTACTGCTAATTACAAGGTATATCAATCTAAGGTCATATTTGCAGTGACTATGACATGCCGCATTTCTTGAGCACTCATTTTTTTTTATCAGTAAACAAGAGGTATTATTTGATAAGAACATATCAAGGAGATGCAGAAGCACCAAAAAAATGAAAGCTAAAGTTTAAATAAAATAAAATAAAATAAACAAAGAAAAAAGGAAGAGGGATTAGACCTTGTAGGGATCCTTAGTTAGAAAAAAGGAAATCTAGGAACTGGCATGATTTCTTGAAGTTTCCACAGTTTTGAATTTGCCCCCTTTCACTTGGTTAAGTCCTTACATTAATCTGCAAATCTTTTGTGAGACTAAAAATATTTGGCTTCATTAATCTGCAAATCTTTTGTGAGACTAAAAATATCTGGCTTTGGTAGCGTTAATAGTTACCTTGTGGCCATTTCCATCCTGTAATGACAACCTTCTAAAAATTACTGTGAATACTTTAAATGCTTAGCTGATAAGTACTTTTCAGTATAATATGCATTTCGACTTCCCTAGTATTAGCATCTTACTAGGTTCGGGCACATTCAGAGGAGGAGCACTGATGCACCGGTGAGGGAGGTGTGAGCGACTGGCTGTAGTGGGCACACGGAGAGGTAGAGGGCGACCTAAGAAGTATTGGGGAGAGGTGATCAGACAGGACATGGCGCGACTTAGGATTACTGAGGACATGGCCCTTGACAGGGAATTATGGAGGTCGAGCATTAAGGTTGTAGGTTAGGGGAAAATTGTGAATATTTCTACAGCACAATAGAGTGAGACTAGCCAGTTAGGAGTTAGACTAAGAATGTCATTGCTCGTCTATTGATGCAGGGCTTTACCTGCTAGTTTTTACTATACCAGCCATCTATTTCGTATTTCGTATTCTGTATTTCATATCTCCTATATTGCTGTTATTTTATTATGCATTTTTATGGTACTAATATATCGTCTCCTGTTGCTTTTTTGAGCCGAGGATCTCCTGGAAACAGCCTCTCTACCCTTCGGGGTAGGGGTAAGGTTTGCGTACATATTACCCTCCCCAGACCCCACTTGTGGGATTATACTGGGTTGTTGTTGTTGTTGTTGTTGTTGTTGTAGTATTAGCATCTTAGCTTACTTAAGTTAGATGGCTGCCAAATTGTTGGGTTCAAAGGCACGCAGATAATAATCCTCTGCACTCTGGTTTCTCATCCTTCTTTTCACCCTTTTGCAAGTAGATGACACTGCTTTTACTATTTCACATGCTTGGGCTGAGATCTTTGTGAAGTTAGGGATGTGCCAAGATAAGTGCTTCACATGCTCAGCTGTTCTGAAATGAAATTTACCCTAATTACAGAAGAGCATTGCTGTTGGGTGATCCTGTTAATCAAATAAAACTAATGGCTGAAAATCATGCACTTTCGCGCCGAAATCTTCTACTAAGTTTCTTCCTGGTATGTGAAATGCAGGTGGAAAGTTATAAGCTATTATAATCTCTAAACTCTAGTACTTCTTAACTCAAATTAAGCAGTCCACAATCAAGCCTCCACTTGTATTTAAGTGTTAATTTTTGTCTTGTGCTTGTCCATTGCAATTTTGCAGAGGGAACTTTATCCATCTCTACTATTATTTCCAGCTGGGAGGAAGAAAGCTATCCCTTATGGTGGAGATATAGTAGTATCTAACATCATTGACTTTCTTGCTCACAACGGGGGCCACTTTTACGGTCTTCTTCAGGAGAAAGGTGAGTTTCCAGATTTGAAAATATGCACTATTAAGAAATATCATTTACTCAAGTTGGAAGTGGTTACTTACCTAGAAAGTGGGGGAGCTGGAACCAATATTTGAGAGTATCTAATAAAGCATTATCAGGAAAATAGATGTGGAGATTGTGTACGCCTTCTTTTTTTTACAAATAGGTTTTGTTTTGTGTCCTAGCAGTGTTAAAGTCTCCTAAACTGAGAATAAAGTTAACTCAAATTACGCCTGAACCGAACATTAGGTAAGATAAGAAACCTACAAAATATGAGGATGTTAATTTTTGTGCAGAGTATAGATATATAGCAGAATAAATTCTTAAAATAGTTAAACGACCACTTACTAGATCTACAAGAATATTATTGAAATTGGCCGCCCATGTTTAGGAAAGAAAACTTGTAGCACCTGTAGTAATTGTGAGATTGCTTTGTCTTTTGTTTGAAAAATATAGATATGCTCAATCCTCTATTGTTCTTATTCCACAAGTCACTGGTTTGCATTTCATGTCAAACATTAAAGAGATTTTTATCCTTTACACTGAAGGCAAAAGGAGAGAACTATAACCAATTAAGTAGTATCTGTTTAAAGGAAGATTCCTGGAGTATCCAGATTGCAGTGAAACCTATCATCATAAGTTTTTCAGGTCATTTGCTTTGCCAGTTACAATTAGTGCAGTTGCATAAAGTTCTTTTTATATGTTTCAAATTTGTCTTTCCCTTTTCGGCAAAGGGCTAAATATACCCCTCTACTTTCAAATATTGTTTAGCTGTACCCTTCGTTATACTATTGGGCTATCCATACCCCTACCGTCATACTTTGGAACAAAAATACCCCTATTGTCATACTTTGAAACAAAAATACCCCTATTTTGGATGGAGTCCCACGTGGCAACATCAAGATTAAAACGACCCATATTTTTTTTACCTGATCCGTTTTTAAAAGAACCCACAACCCGACCCCTATTTCATTTTTTTCCAATTTTTTTTTTTTAAATTTCAGTTTTTAAAAAACGAAAATATTTGTTAAAAAACAAAACAAAAAAAATTCTGTTTTTACAAATTGTTTTTCCAGTTTTTACAAAACAAAATTCTTTTAAAAAACTGAAAAAATGAAAAAAAATATTNCATTTTTTTAAAAGAATTTTGTTTTGCAAAAACTGGAAAAACAAATTTGTAAAAACAGATTTTTTTTTTGTTTTTTAACAAAATATTTTCGTTTTTTAAAAACTGAAATTTAAAAAAAAAAAATTGGAAAAAAATGAAATAGGGGTCGGGTTGTGGGTTCTTTTAAAAACGGATCGGCGAAAAAAAAGAAATGGGTCGTTTTAATCTGGTGTTGCCACGTGGCACTCCATCCAAAATAGGGGTATTTTTGTTTCAAAGTATGACAATAGGGGTATTTTTGTTCCAAAGTATGACGGTATATGGATAGCCCAATAGTATAACGAAGGGTACAGGTAAACAATATTTGAAAGTAGAGGGGTATATTTAGCGCTTTTCCATTCCCTTTTTCCTACATCAGGTATACTGTGGAGTGAAGGTGAACCAGGGATAAATCATAACATGAATGCAGAAGCTCCTCCATTTAAGAACTTACCGCATGAAATAATACTTCAAGAAGGACCACCAACGTTAGATGTTCAGTTCAGCGAAAATAGAGCTCCTCTTAGTAGCTCCGCGAAAACATCCTTTCATGTGATTGTTGGTTCCATCCTTGTTGCTACGGAGAAGCTTCTAAATGTTCACCCATTCGATGGATCGAAAGTACTTGTTGTGAAAGTGAATCAAAGCACAGGATTTCAAGGTCTGATTGTCAACAAACATATCAGCTGGGACTCGCTTGATGAACTTGAAGATAACTTACAGCTTCTGAAGGAGGCTCCTCTATCTTTCGGTGGCCCTGTTATGAAACGTGGAATGCCTCTCGTTTCATTGTCCAGAAAGTATATTGTTAATCAGTCCATGGAAGTATTACCAAATGTTTATTTTCTTGACCATAGGGCCACAATAAGCATCATAGAAGAGCTAAGGCTAGGAAACCAGTCTATCCATGATTTCTGGTTCTTTTTGGGATTTTCGAGTTGGGGTTGGGGCCAGCTATTTGATGAAATTTCTGAAGGAGCTTGGATTGTTAGAAATCATGATGAGGAGCAAATTGATGGGGCTTGGAGATGACCTAGATCTTCTGGATCAGGTTAAATTGCTGAATTAGGTATTTCTTTCAAGAGTCTAAAGTGCGACATTATTAGAGTTTAACAATAGAATTTGATTTACAATAGGCAGTGACTATCACAAGAGTTTGCATAGGTGTATAAAGATAAAACAACATTCAAATATCCTAATGTGGTCTGCTTTTTGTACCGATATCTTTCATTTGACTGACTTCGTAGTGAGTCGGTTTGTCTGTCCCTCCCTCATCTCTCTATACCCCCCAACACCCCCCCCNGGTGGTTTGGTTCGTGGACAATGTTATATAGAGAGTGTTTGAGCAAAAAGTATGAGACATTTTTTTGTTAAACTAATTAAATAAGATGGAGGGTAAATCCTACTTAAGGATAATTAATTCTAGATCCAAAATGAATAATATGAATAGAAAAACATAGCTGAGTATGAGTGCTGACAGTGATTATGGCCAGATTTAATAGCATAAAGAGATGCATTAAGTAACATTAAATGACAATAAAATGTAAATAAACGAAAAGAGTCACCCAATCTTGAGTGAGGCGGATCCTCTTTCATTTGATAAAGATGAATGATAGACAAATATAAGAACCTTAGGACCCTTTTTGGATCTCATCAAGGTCTGGGATCAAAGATCCTCTAATCTTTTTAAAGAGGAATGTTTACGTGTTTTCTAGAGGGGGGGGGGGGGGGGAGAGCACCATCGTTCTTTTGGACATTGCTACTTCCGACTTGACGGGTGTCGAGAATGGGATATAGGATGAGCTATGTTATCTTTTACTATTCGGTCACTTGGGCGGGACGTTGGTCAGCTCGGCCGTGACGGTCAGATTTTGACCAATACAGAGAGTATAACACGATTTAAAATCGCTGTATTATGTAGTCTATATGATCTTTTTGGCAAACTTTTGGTTTATTGCATTAAAATTGGGATATCAGTGTATGTTATAAAAGCTTACAATTTTACCCTTGCTTTTGAAGTAAGTGAAAAATAGAAAGATGAATCAAGGTTAATTTGTCTTTTAGGAGTTTTATTCCTGAACATATAGACATTCCCTTAAAGTCGTCACCAATTTTTACTAAGATATTTTAACTAAGGCATTTACCTATTGCACACTTTCACCTCATCTAATGTCTGCCAATTAAACACAGGTTGCTGACATGACACAATGGGCGTTTTGCACATCTTTTAAGCGCATGAAATGGGTGTTTTGCACATATTTTAAGCGCGTGAAAGGCTGGGTGATTCCAGATTCGTTCATCAGTTCTTCCACATAATATCATCCAACTCTCCCCATTTCTCACTTCCTTCAATTGTGATCCTTCTCATTTTCTATTCAGCTACGAAACAAGTAATAAACATTACTAGTAAATAAAAGGTAACTAAAAATGATATTTCATAAAACATTCACGGATATCATTGAAAAACTTATCACCCTGTGAATATATCTCTTTTTAGTTTCTAGAACTTGAAGAAATTTTCAAAAGTAGCAGTGGCAAATGTGTTAATCTTTTTTCTTGAATCGGGGAGTGAATGCGTGCTTGAACAATTTCTTTGGGGACTTTGGTAATTATGGAGAATCAATGTGTTTTGCTTTAAAGTGAAACTGTGGTGATGGTTTCAAAGGGCTTAATCTTTCCATCAAAGAACTTCTCATAAATAAACTCTCTCTAATGTCCTCTAAAATCAAAAGCAAATTTGTCATCTTTAACTGGGTCAATATTGATCTCTTTTTCTTTAAGATTTTCTTCCAATTGGGTAATTGTTGATTTTTCTCTTGTAGGATTTTTTTTCCAATTGAATGGTCATCTTCAATTGGGTCAGCTTCTGAATGGCTTGAAGGAGCACTAATGTAAGGAGTATAACCACAGCCAAAGTTGAACTCCGCCAATCGAGATTATATTTCCATTTATGCATAGCATATGTCCAATCTTTTTCTAATGGGAAAAGAAGAATAATATACACGTGCAGGTGACAGGAGAAAAGAAAAGAGGAGGACGAAAGGGGATGGGGATTTTGTCAAGAATGAGTCTTTGTTTCATGCTGTTTGCGACGTGTCATTCACTTATTCGTTCATTTACATCAACCTCACGCTTTTTAATTTATTTGGGGCTGTCAAATTAGTGTTTAATTGAAACACATTAGATTAGATAAGGTTGGAGTGTCTAATAGGAAAATGCTTTAGTTAAAGTGTCTGAGTGGTGACAAATGTCTGTGTATTTGGCCTAAGTTATTCCGTGTGTGACCGGGTATAATACTATTTGCAGCAACAAAATGAACCGTAGACTCACTCAATCTGGCAGTTTACATAACTGATTTGCTATCATTCAATTTCTCCTTTTGCTCTTTCTGCTAAAATATATATAGACTTTCAACAAAAAGAGAAAGGAATGCCTTCTTTTTATTCCTAATATATAGTATTTGCCTTGTCCTTTAAGAACAACACTGAGATGAATATTTGAGTGATGAGGGATGGATCCAAACGCAAATATCTCTTTCCATCCTTTGGGTATTGAGTCAATAAAAGCCAACTTCTTTTAGCAATAATCAATCTCACCCCATAGCTTTTATTGAGATTTCATTGAAGTTACCTTCTTGAGCTCCAACAATCTGGACCACCTCCTATCAATTGAAGCAGCATTCTGTTTGCCCAAAGCTGTAATAAATAATTAACGGATGGATGTTATTATTGTAATAGAAATGCATTTTGTTTTTCCAATTCGATTTCCTATTTCACTTATCTATATTCGGTTTTTGCAAAATCAGAATTTTGAAACCATGTACAAATAATTTTTCTAACCCAAAACGATATAGTGTTTCTTACGCTGCAATTTAGGTTCAGATTTTTCACATGATTTTGAACAAGTCTCCTGCAAAAATAAGCAATATCCTGGTTTAAAATGGTTTTCCCTATAAATAAAATGGAGTTATATATTGAGAAGAAAAGTGGATATATACTTTAACAGCGGCAGCAAGGCTTATGGTATCTTGTATTAAAGAATCAAGGTCAGCTTCAAATCCTGGTTTCACATAGATAACCTGCGATGTCCCAAAAGGATAAACTTTTAGGTTTCTTTTCTCAGTTCATGATCGGACAACAAGAACTATGCTACTTGGACTCTCCAAAAATGCTATCATACCAATGTCGAATCCTCAAAAAATGTACTATTTTTGGATGATTTGACACGCACGATCTAAGCAAACATAGAACCAGAGTAAGAGCCTTAATTTGTAGTCTTACAGATGGATCATCCCAACCAAGCACTGGAAGCTCATCCGTAGCTGATCCTTTTTCTCTGCTTGATGGTAAAACCCAAACTTTAAAGCTTGCATCAATCTGACCAAACAGGAACATTTATCAACCACAACAATTGAGGAGTGAATTTGAACCTTTTTTTTCTCTCCAAGAATCTGGACATGTGGATCCACCCATTTAAAGATTAGAAAGTAGTGTACAATAAATACCTCTCTGCAGTATGGGGAAGAGCAGTTGCTACATTTTCTAGTGAAAGATGTGATAACTCTTCCATCCACTGAGAGCCCAAAACCTGTGTGCTGCTCATCAATTAAAAGGTCTTGCATTCAGGATTTGGTAAGAATATTCACATAATAAGAATGGCGAATTAATTAAAGGAATAGCGATGAAACCTTGTGAATACAAAGACTAATGGAAACTTGAGTATCTTTATGGCCATCTTCAGCTAATTCTTCAAGTTGAAGATCTCCAAGAGAGAAAATGTAGTCACACTTCCATTCCCCATGCCATCTTCCATCAGAGGTAGAAATTGTCACCAAACGCTTTGAAGCCCTTTGACTTCTTTTTGTTATCTTCAATATTTGGAAATTAAACAAGAAAATTATGACCATGTCAAATCATTTATCTTTTTTTTTTTTTGTAGGTTGTCAGTCCATATTGGTACGAAAACTTACCAATAATGAAGTGTATATGAAAGAAAGAAGTAAAAATAGTAGTAAGATGTTTTGTAGCTAGAGAACTAGGCTAAGGAACTCTGTAACTTTTGCTAGGATCCTATATTTATATTAGAAAATATATAAATATTTAATTATGAATCAATAATTAAAATGAAGTATAAATTCAGATGGCAAGTTTAGAGATGATAAGCGAAAAAGAATTTACCAATGAGAAGTCATTTCGTTTTAATGAAGCTTTGGTGTTGTTTGGGGAAAAATAGAAGGGTTTAATAGGTTGTGGTTGGGATATGGAGCTTCTTGATGATATCCAGCTTCCAGCTCTTGCCATATCCCTTCCTTTCTCTCTCCTTATCCTCTGTACTGCTTGGGTAGGCCAAATAGGTGGATATATTTATTCTTTCTTGTTTCTTATTTTTATTTTGGCAATATAATTTGCAGATATTTCCTTTTATCTCAAATGCTTCATTTGCATTTGACGAAAACAAGAATTTTGTTAAAGAGTCTTTAAATTTTAAATAACTTTTATTTTCGATAATTAGGTGCAACTAGATTTAAATTAAGCAACATACTATTTAGCTAAATCAATTCTTTTTTTGTTTCTAAGAAGAACGCGACTACTTCTGATTGGCCGGCATTTTCTACTCGGTTAGATGCCTACCTTGCTTTTGACACTTGAGGAAAATTTTCTCCGTTGAAATTCCAAACTGAATTGTGAGGCCTTTTAATTATAGGAATAATCACACAATACAAAATCATAACTCCCAAAAAAAAAACATAAAATAAAAAAGAGAACGAATACAGAGGTAGAGAAAGAATAACAGTAGGAAAAAAATACAAATGAAGCACAAGAGTCCGTAGTTAGATAGAGCACATGCATTTTTGTAGCTACTTCAAGCAGCATCAATCAAAACTAAACACTAGATTTTAGGAAACTCATAACAATTTACGATCAAACACACTAAGGGGTATTAGCTTTGTGTATTAATAATATATTGTTTGGTAGACATTTTGAACCTATACATTAGTTATGCAAGCATTAGTTATATATCTTATTTGGTATTATCCTATGCATAACTAATGCATAGAAAACAATGGTATTAGCAATGCAATGGATTTTAATGCATGTATTAGCTTAGTTAAAGACAAAATTGTCCTTCAAAATTATGCTTGATTAAAATATGCTAGTTAGTATATTAATACAAGTTCAAAATAATCCAAATAGTGAGAAATAAAATTATATCCCTAGTAAATAAATAAATACTTAATATATTTCCTTTTTTATAAATAAATATTTAATTTTATTTTACAATATAGGTAGACAAATAAAATAATTTTTTTAAAACTTTTTCATATAAAAACATTTCTCAACATATGTTTCTTTTAAAAAGTTAGAGTGTGGACTAGTTTTGAGAGCATTTTTGTAAACAAACAATTCTTTTAGAAACTGTGCAATGCTTTAATACATCAAACCAAATAATGGATAAGAAATATGTCAGCATAACTAATACCAGCATAACTAATACCAACATTACTAATACCAGCATTACTAATACACCCTATTCAGCATTATTCTTATGCACCTTACCAAACGACCCATAAGGGAATGCCATTATGCTAAAAATCCAGTGGAAGCTAGTATATAGTAACACAAATAAGTTTTGGGAACTTGAATATGATGAAAGGAAGGGAAGATACTATCTTGGAATGAATGGAAGATGATATGACTTTATTCTAATTCGAGGGTTGAATTACGTTTCAACACTGGTCTACTTTATATCATTGTTAATTTTTATTACTAATCTTTACATTTATCAATTGGTATTAGGTGAAATCACGTGTCCTTAAAACCACATTATAAGTTTAATTGTTATCCAATTTTAAGGGTAAACAGTTTGGCACCCATTGTGGGGCTAAGGATAATAGTGATTATCTGGTATTAATTCTCGTAACACAGACTACTTTATGCTTATTTTTGTGAGTATTTTTGATTTCAGGATCAACATGTCTAACTCGCAAGCAGTACCCGCTCACATCGATAACGACCTCGATTTCCATGGAGAAAATAATAATGTAGCCACCCCAGGGATCGAAGTGCCTCAGGCTGGCCACGAGGGAGTACCAATCACAGACCCCATTGATGTCAGTTTGCATGTCGCCCTAAATGCATATCTAGGCATTGATCCTGAAGGTAGCGTACTCAGGAAAGTTCGATCAGGCGGTCGAGGTACGCAGGGTGGAGAAGACGGTGGAGTTAGCCTCTAATTGATATTTGAAATACTTCAGGCTCAGTAAGCCGCTATAGCGCAACTACAGAATCGACATCGAGCACCAAGTAGGATCGAACCAAAGACTGAACCAGAAACTATTCGCAGGGCCGAACCTATACCGGAAAGATCGGACGCCAATGATTCGGGAGCTGACCCTGCTATTATGAAAATGCTCGAGGAGCTCACTAAATGGATTGAATTAGGAGAAAAGAAAATCAAGGCAAATGATAAAAAGGTAGAAACATACAACTCCCAGGTTGACCAAATAAAGGGTTTGGATTCGAAAAAGTTTGTGTAGAAGCCTTTCCCGCCAAGTGCGACTCCGAAGCCTATCCCGAAAAAATTTCGCATGCCAGAAATTCAATGGAACCACTGACCCTAATGAACATGTCACTTTTTATACGTGCGCAATAAAGGGGAGTGACTTAGAAGATGATGAGGTTGAATCCGTTCTATTGAAAAGGTTTGGTGAAAATATATCGAAAGAGGCAATGATATGGTACCACAATTTGCCACCCAATTCCATCGACTCCTTCGCCATGCTGCAGATTCCTTCATGAAGGCACATGTCAGAGCAATAAAGGTTGCGACTAGGAAATGGGACCTCTTCAAAGTAAGACAAAAGGACAACGAAATGTTAAGGAAATTCGTATCTTGGGCTGTTCAAGTTTTTACTCAAGGTTTGAACGAACGAAGTTCGATAGCATTACGAAAACTGAAGCAAAATTTAATTAAATATCCAGCTGTAACCTGGGCCGATGTACATAATCGATACCAGTCGAAGATCAGGGTTGACGATGATCAATTGGGAACTCCTTTCAGTTCTGTTTGTGAGCACGTGATTTTTGCCCTATATATGACTTACTCCCACAAATTCAAAACAAAATAATTATTTCCATTGTTCGCAATTTCATAGGTTTTTGTAGCATTTTTTCTCAATTGTTTGCATTTGTCTATGCACGTTTATTTTTTTTAATTCATGAAAAAACACAAAATACATTGCATTTGCATTTAGGATCTAATTTTGCATTTTTGAATTAATTAGTAATTTAGTTATTTACAAATCATAGAAAAATCATAAAAAATTATCACATTTCAGTTTCATGTCATCTTAGGCTCAATTTGCATGTAGAAATTAATTTTATTAAGCAAAAATCACAAAAATGGTCATTTTTACATATTTGGATTTTAGCTTTTAAAATTAGCATTTTTCCTTAGTTTTAAGTTAATTAGTTGTTGTAATGTTAAAAATAAATAAAGAATTTTAATAGATTGATTTAGGATTTTAATTGATTTTTTTTTAAAAAAAAAGGGAAAAAACAAAGAAAAGGAAAATAGGACTAACATATTTTTGATCTTGTTTCTTTTAAAATTGGGCTAGAATTCAAATTGACCCTATTCCCATAAGCCAAGACCAATGCCATATCCAATACCCTCTTGACCCAAACTCTTTTTTTATAAAAGGCAAGACCTAGACCTAAGAGCATCAGATTTTTCCATACACTTGAGACCCCTTCCCTTCTCCACAAGAAATAAAAAATGGTGCACAATGGAATTCAATTGAGAGTTCCTTTTCGTTGGTAGAAATTTGAAGAAGCTGAAACTTTATATCTTTTGTGGACCATGTTTCGATGGATTCCATTTGTCCCAAGATAAAAAAAATCCATCTCCATTTAGATTACACCTCCGACTTGAACTTTGGAGTGGAGAATAAGTCGATCCATTAGTTTCACTGTAAAAAGGAAAACAGAAGACGTTGTATTGTATTAATTTGATTAAGATCTCACTTATAATTTGCCTCTATCTGTTTGCACTCGTGCTTCATTGATTACATTGGATCGGAGCTGTTGCGTATTTGGTAAAGGACTGTGTTCCGCTGCTGCCTGCATAGCTGAACTTTTCTCATCCTTTTTTCTGGCCTTTATTTGGTCTTATTATGCTGCCTTTTGCTCTTGCTGTTAGTATGTCAATTATTTCCTCTGTAATTCTCAACTATGTATGAATGAAGGCCTAAATTACTTGTTGAATCTCTATCTGATTTTGTGTGTTCATCGTGTTTGATTGTTAGATCCATTCACACTTCTCTCCTGGTAAAATTATTTTTTTAAGCTAAAGACTAACTCTGAAATTATTGATTACTTGGAGAGTTATATCTGTTGATTTATGGCTTAATCAATTTGGGTAAGTAATTATGTGAATTCTATGATATTAAGGCTAAAGTTATTTGTTCATTTAAGCCTAGCCCATGATTTTAGCCATGAACGACGTGGTCATGAAGTTTTAATTGTTCAGATGCTTTCTTACAAGGCATTTAGCTAATAATCAGAAATCAAGATAGTTTCTTCAACACCTAATTGGCTAAACTCTTTGTTAGTTTGATTAAAGCAGTGGTTGATAAATTCGTACAAGAATTGAAAGAGAGGGAGATGCAGACTTACATTGAGGAGCGCGAACGTGAAGTTGTTGAGCATGAAGCCGCTTGAAAAGCTGAGCTCTCTCGCCGTTAGAAATTGCTCGGCAAGAAGCCATGTTAAAGATGGAGAGGGAAAATCTTGAAGAAAGAGATTCGAGGCGCGCCATGTCGAATAAAATTTTAAAACCCATGGCCCTCACTTAAATAATTTTAATCCTTTAGGAATCGAGGCGAGCCATTTAGTTGAATTTTTCATGGCCCTCGCAAAGTTGAAAGTGCATAGTTGCTTTAGGCACGCTATTAAAAAGTTACTTTCCTAAACTCGGGTGCGCATTTATGTGACCCAAATCCAAATCTCAACAACGTTAGATAAAATGTGTTGTGGACTGCAGGTGCATTTATGTGACGTGGTCCAAGACGCGTTTTATGTGACGTTAAATCTTCCTAAAAAATATTTAAATAAAAGCGGTTATAAAGTTAAAATTGAACTATAGGTTAAAACATGTATTAAAATCAGATAATAGGCCAATTATAATAGTTGAGCGACCGTGCTAGAACCACGGAATCCGGGAATGCCTAACACCTTCTCCCGGGTTAACAGAATTCCTTGCCCGGATTTCTGTGTTCGCGGACTGTAATACAGAGTCAATCTTTTCCTCGATTCGTAATTTGAACCGGTGACTTGGGACACCATAAAATTA